GAGTCAAACAATTATTTTTTTTAGTCTCGATGCGTGATTCCGCGGTGGGAAATCAATTTTTCATACTTTATTTTTTATAACTGCTTGAATCAGTCATTAATTAATCATCTGAGATATATTCTGCTCTACACGTGATTAATTCGAGTGGAATAACCAAAAACGAAATTAATCCATTCGATGACCCAAATTCGTTGGCTCCGAATTTCATAATGATGAATTAAATAATCTCGAAAACACATTCCATTTTCATTCATTTTTAACCATAATTCACCAGTTGTTATTCTGAGTATACTACTAAATTATGAATTTCACGAATTGCGAGAAGCGCTATTAAGCTCGTTGGATCGTAAAATTGTGGGGCAGTTTTCGTTAAAAATTTTACGATGCATAGTTAAAAAAATGAGCTAGAAAATAAGCCCTTTGCGATCGCGGTTGACATTTTTGAACTTGAGATATAAATTTTTGAAATTCAACTGATTTAACACGTGTTTAAATAGAGTTTCACCGATTAGAATTTTTAAGATATCAACAGCTCGGCAGTTTTCGAAATAAAAAAAAACATGGAATATATATGGTGGGAGGAAATACAGAAAAAAAATCAAATCGGTCGACCATTTGGGTGATGCGATATAATTATCGAAAATCCATAAATTTATTTTATTGAAAATAGTTAATATGGAAAATATATAGTTATGCTTTAGCTATCTATGCACAATGCAATCAATCAAGTGCCACTATATACCGTGACAAGATTGTGTTCTAAACTGGCCCGGTTTACAGCGGATAAACTTTTTGCAGAGACTATCGCGATACAACAACGGTTAGGCCTTCTGATTCAGCTACTTGGATTTTTATTCATGCCAATGTTGCGGAAGTGCGAAAGATTTTAGGTGTAATACACCTACGTTGTCACAATTTTGTCGTAATTTCTCGGAAAACGACAGTTAATTCATTTTCAGAAGTTAATATTTTCTCGAATTTCACGATTACTCAAAATTAAAATAGGTACACTAACAAATAGCCCTGAATGTTAAAACTTCTTAAGAAGGAATTTTTTTTTAATTAATGAGAAGCTAAAATTTAATAATATAAACTCCTCAATTTTTCCAATTTTTCGAATGAAATTGAAATAAAATTCTACGAAATAACTGAATTTAGATTTATTATAATTGCGCTTTTTTTCATCTCAGTAGAATTTTTCCATTATAACTCGTCAACTTGTCAATAAATACGCATAATTTTCCGAAACAACAATCGCTGTTGATGCACTAATATCCTCCTGGGAAATGTGTCGTTGATTCAACTCCAGAATGAATAGATTTTTGTTAGACCAGCGGTAAACTCGATAAGCATTTGAAAAATTATTATTTAGCTGCCTATTTTTTTTTACCGATGGACACATGATAATGGCAAGTCGAGGGTTTCCCCGTGTAATATCAGAGTCCATCAGAAGTCACTGTTCTTCCTCCTGGACTCCTCTCTCCGTATGGTGTACGTTAGATACACATGAATTATTTATCATGGCGTGTCAGAGGCCCAGCGCTCTGAGTTCGGATCCACCGTGATCCTAGTGCATACCCTGAATAAAAAGAAGGCAATGGAAGGAAGTGAGAGAGAACTCGATCACGATTCCGGGATAGACGTTACGAAAAGCTGTTTGTTGTCTTCCGTTGTCTCTATTCAAGTCCCAAAAGATCTTAGAGCTGTCTGACAATGTGAATAATAATAAACTCGAGTGTACAACGTTGATTGGAACGGGTGACCACGCCAAGGGGCTGCTTACTCCTCATTTTCATGGCTCAGTGATTTCCGAAATTCACTGATTTTTAGTATGGGTTCTCCAATGATTTCTGTGATTTCTTAATCAGAATTGAAAATCATGACGCGTAATGATTTTAAATGATTCCCCTGATTTCTGGTACTTTTTAATGAGTTCTTGATTTCGAGAAATCACTTTGGAAATCGTGATTTCTAAGATGTTATACATTATAATTAAAAGGTTTACGTGGGTCATATGATTGAAATTCTGAGTTGGACAGGCGTTATTTAGAAGGTAATCACCGTCAGGGGGATCATAAGGGCGCGACCATTTCTAAGAGAGTCAAATGACATTTTAATGAGAGAGTCATAAAGTTCCGGAAGATTGTACGAGATAGCACGGAGAAATCAAATGCTCTAACTCGTCTCCGGACGTACTACTGGCCCATAAGTCGAGGAAGTCGAGGAAATATGTTTATATTTTAAGTTTCGACGACTGATATCCCTAAACCGCCTTTGTTCAACGACCGTGGCATAGTAGAGTTGAAACTGCGAATTAATGTTTTTGGTTCCTGACTTTTTCATAACATCTATGACTTCCCAAATCCTTTTGCATTTCTTAGTGATTTTTAATAATTTCAAAAGGATATTGGAAGTCACTACCAACAATAGAAATCACTGGGATTCCAGTGATTTTTTTCGATTTCCGGTAATTTCTCAAATGATTTCCAACCGACTGTTTCAATGATTTCTGAAGTAACGAGTTCCTCGGATCACGCCTGAGGGTGTCTGCTACTTTTAAAATTGATCTTGGATTATTCGTCTTTATTCTCCAATTTTCATCAGAAATATGGAATGGAAAGAAATTGCACGTTTTGAACTGCTCGGAAAGTTAATGAGGCCCTTTAATAATTCGGAAATATCAGTTTTACCGCAAGTGTTAGCAAGTGTTTCGCTGCAAATTAACAATTAATTTCATTGAAAATATTTAACGAACATATAAAGTAGCGATAACATGTGAAAAAGACAATGAGTAAAATAGTTTAGGGATAAATTCAAAGCAAGGAGTTATGGGGGAAAACGCGCATTAAAAGAAAAGGAATAGCCTTTCGCTCTTCGCGAAAACAGAAAAAAACAGGAAGGCACAAATCCGCCAAGGTCCCAAGAACTCACGGCTTCACCAAAAAAGGGAGTTTTTGCTCAGAAAAATATTTACAGCATAATAAAATACCCCAACAGTCGAAGCTCGCGAAGATCCTAACTCCAAGTGTATGACTTCCCTGCAATTCCTCGTCGTCCTATCTGCATCCGTGTTAACTTTTTCCTCCTACCTTTGGACAACCTCTTTTTTGGAAACTGCAAGGAGAAGGGAAGATCTTAGGAGACCATTCACGAACACCAAAGTAAAATAAGCAGGCAGTCCCAATTAGGTTAGCAGCCAGACAACATTAGTTCAGGTTTAGTTTAGCTCACTAAGCAAAATTTTAAGTGTTCCGTCTGTACAAATACATTCTACTCATTACCACTGAAACTCCCTTGTGCTTTTCTCTAGTTGAACTAATGGAGTCACCCTTCGGAAACTGGCTCTTACCAAGACACGTGGTAGCGTATCTTCCAAATTACATTTAATTTTCATAAAGAAACCATGACGAAAAATTGAAAACCATCCTCGCATTCTTAATAATTTCTAGACGAACTTTCCACTGGGATTGTTATTTCAGCTTTTATTAGCATCAATAATATTACCTCTATAATGGGCGAAAAAATCACATTTTGCCGATTTTTATTATCTTCACTCCACTTGTGAGTTTCTGGTTTTTGCGGTTTTTGTATATATATATATATATATATATATATAATGAGCAGTTGAGTATTTTTAATGTGTCGGTAATGCGTGACATCAACTGTCGCTGATGTCGCTTCAAGCGTTGTGTCAACTGGCGAAATGGCCAAAAATTATTTAAATCTACTGAAAAATTTAAAAACTGAAGTTTTTGAAAAAATAACTTTCCACTTGGGTAGAACATTGAACCTCAATGGACAAATGTTCGGCCAATTTTTTTTCATTGAAACTAGTTGAACTTAATTCTTTATTTGATTTCATTTGGCTTTGTGAAATGGGAAATTATTCAAAACGTTAACTTGGCAGAATTTTTACAAAAATTTCAATTTTTGAAATTTTTAGTAGTAGAGAATGACAGTCCGAGTGACATCAATTTGTTAACTTAGACATACTGGTTGGGCGGTACGATAAGGCTTCATATTGATGATCCGATAGTTGTGAATCGAAATCGAATTATATTGGTGGAGAGGGGGGGGGGGGGGCTTCAGCTTCTAGGCTAATGGGGCACATCGTGAAAATAAATAGAGACCCAGTAGACGAAACCAGTCCGCCGCGCTCATTCTCATCTTTCCTCATTTGGCAGAGCTGATGGCCGTTGTTATCACCATCCAGAAGGGACCGAACGGACCCCCTCCGTACAAAAAACAAAGGTTTTATACTGAAAGGAAACTAACTGCGATTACTCAAATTATTACGTGCACCGAACAATGCAAAATGTCTACTTTTTCATTTGGCCAAAAACATCATTTATCTTTAGAAATATCTAGACAATTTATTGCAGGATATTAAAATTCATTCAGGTGTAAATTTGGCCATTTCCCATCTTCCAGGAATGACATTTTTTAGAACACCTGGGAAAGAGGCTAGGGACGATTAGGCGAGGGACACATTTATGCGTTGTCACGTTTCGGCATTCAACTTCGATAAATATACCTACAGTCGGAAGATAAAACCATGTGGATAAAGAAGACAGAAAACTTCGATAAATTCACAATAGGTTGAAAATATACTCTTTGCCTGTGTGGTATAGTAGTCTGTTTTTCAATTTTGCGAGGTACACGACGACTTTCATATTGGAAAAATCACGTTTTCATATTGGATTGAGCTGCGGGGACACAATGCAGCAGCGTCCTCTATAGACATTGGATCTAAATCAACGGCTGTACCGTTATTAAAATAGACGATGCCTTGAAATGTGTTTATGGCAAAGATTACAAAAAATAAGGAGCTTCGAAATTTTTTCATTTTGTGAGACAAAAAGTACATTCTTTCATGTCATTGCACTATTCAGTGCATTTTATCCTCATTTTTATTAAAATATAAAAGCAATCCATTGAAAATCTTGCCCGTCCAAAGCGAGAGATTAAAGTAAAGTTTGAAAAGAGGAATAAGGTCAATGTTATTTTCCACCTGGTTGTAGTTGATTGTCTTGCTCTGCACCTTCTTCTGGATTATTTTGATTTTGTCCTGGCAGATTGCCTTGCCCTGCACCTCCTACTGGATTAGGCTGATTTAATACTGGTGCATTATCTTGGCCTGCACCTCCTTCTGGATTAGGCTGATTTAATACCGGTGCATTACCTTGGCCTGCACCTCCTTCTGGGTTAGGCTGTTTTAATACCGGTGCATTACCTTGGCCTGCACCTCCTTCTGGATTAGGCTGATTTAATACCGGTGGATTGTCTTGGCCTGCACCGCCTTCTGGATTATTCTGATTTAATACCTGTGGATTGCCTTGGCCTGCACCGCCTTCTGGATTGTTCGGATTTAATACCGGTG